GCTCTTAACTGCTGAGCAATCTCTCTAGCCCTCAAGTTATCCTCTTCTAAGTATAGTAGTTTATATCTTTGTTATCTTCTCTCAGAATATGGATGGTAGGATATGTGAAAGTTTGGTTTGGATTTGTTTTTAATTTTCTTCTACATATTCTATTTCCTCAGTTTGTTTAGTTTTGTTGTTATTCAGCCTTTCTCATATGTGTCACTTTTCTGGTCTGATAATCCTTGGTTTTCTGGTTATGTTTGATAATTTGGGCCTATGAAGTTAATTAGGAACTTTGAAGACATAGTTAAAACTTACCTATAGTTGTCTATGTCACTATGAGGTGACTTGACAGAGCCATTTTATTTAGGTATGAAGTCTCTGATGCCCAGGTAGATCTCCCAGTCTACCTAACTGCCACCTGCTGGAACATGCTCAAGAAACTCAGCCCTCAGTAGTCACTATATTTCCTCAATTTTCAGATTCCGGACCTACCCTTCCCTGGACCAGTGACCTTCTTCACCAGTCTGGGTGAGGCAGAAAGAGGAGATGAGGCACCAGCTGCACTCCCTGAACATTCTCGGGTTTCTGAAAATGCAAAGGGGGTTTATTCTCAGCTCTCCCCCCTTGACTTTTGCTGAATCTGCTAACACTTATCCATTTGTTGTCTAGCTTCCAACACTGGATTCTTTTAGTCTCTTCCCTGTCCTTTCAACCCCCATGAATTTGCTGATTTTGAAAAGAACCTGCAGAATAAGGAAACCATCATTCCTCATCAGGTTCTGGTGGATCTCCCAGGGTTCTTCTGTGTCATTTCCTAAGCTAAGATCTGCCTCTTTCTTCTGTAGCCACATGAAACAGCCTATCTGGGAGTTAAATACTGAGTTCTTGGGACTTTTCAGTCACTAAAGAGAAGTGTTGCCTCTCCAGTCACCAGATGCAGTAGTCCTAAAATTGATTTCTTTGCTCTTGTTACCTCAACAGGACTCCTGGTTGAGTAGATTTCTTATTGTGCTAAGAATGGAACCCAGGACCTTGAACATGAAATTCAAGTGATTGTACCCTTGAGTCACAGGAAATCCTTAGCCTCATAAATTAGTAGTTTTTTATGTTTATTTTTAGCATCTATGATACATAATCATATAATAATGGGTTTCACTGTAACGTTTTATACACCAGTGTAGTGATTTTTATCATATTCACCCCAATTGCCTTTTCTTGTTCTTCTGACAGTCTTTCTGACCTCCTTCCTCTTTATCTAGTCTCTCCTTCTGTTTTCAGGAGTGTGTGTGTGTGCGAGTGTGTGTGTGTGTGTGTGTGTGTGTGTGTGTGTGTGTGTGTGTGTGTG